GCATTCGCGCTTCCCTTCGCGGCCACGAGGAGAAGAAGAACGATCTCGCCGCTAAACCCCACACTGTCGAATTGCGAACCTCCCCCGACGACGTCGTTTCCAGAGATCCACTCGCTCTTCCTCGTACCTTTTATTAATCCACGCTTTCCCCTTTCCGTTTTCGTTGTTGCTATTATTATTATCGATGCCTTTTGCGATTCATTTTTCAGGGCCTTTGACATCGACTCAGTTATCTGCTTCAGTTTCCGATGGTTCTCGGCTTCGTGTTGCGTATCAGGTGTTTGCTTGTTGCATTGCATGTTCTGATTGTTGTCTATTTCCCGTCTATTTTGATTAGTGGAATATAATTCCTTTGTTTTTATTTTATTTTATTTATTTATTATGTATCACTCTGTATGTAAGCACAATTATCAAAATAGTGATCAAATAGATAACAGATCTTGTTTTAAAAGAATTATTTGAATATTATCCTGAGCTTATTTGATTACCTGTGTCAGTGCTCCTGCAAGCATTACTTTCTTCACACATTTGCTTTGTTTTTCCATTTATTCATCCCGCGAAAGAGTGATAGGAGCTAATTATATATGGAATTTAAATTTCATGACATGTTAGAGTAAATTTTTACACCTGACATATTGGATGAGAGTGTAAATTAGGGCGTTGTAATTGAATTTTATATATTGTATGGCTAAATACTGCACTTTCAGGGGGTTCGCGGTGCTTACAGCGAGTCAGCAGCACAGAAGGCCTATCCAAATTGTGAAGCTGTGCCTTGTGAACAGTTTGACACTGCTTTTGAGGTAAAGTTTCGCTGCCCTTTTCTCCTAATAACGCTGAAGATTAAGTGCCTGTTTGGATTGGCGGCATTGATCCACGATTTCATGAATTTGACGCAAAAGCAAGTAATATTAACTTATTGTTTTCACGTTTTTTACGTGAGTTAAGAGTTCTGAACGTGAAACCAAACATACACTAAGATTCATCACTAGTTCAATTGGGAATTCATCATAGCAACATATTTTTTGCGATGAAAGTTATTTAGTACTACACGTTAACACAAGTTTGGGTCTTGTCTTAAATGGAGGAGTTAACTTAAAAATTGTGAATTGTGATTTAAAAATATCAAATATCCTCCCCATCACAATCCTCAAGGGCATATGATGAAGATTGGACAATCCATTTTCATTTTGAGGGTCATTACCATGTCATGCAAAGTCTTGTTGGTAATATCACACACATCAAAATGGAGCTAGAAATTAGTGCAGATCAGGAAATTCACAATCCACTAGGAAATATTTAACTAATTACATA